CAAAACAGAAGAGTCTTGTGCCAGCCCCATGGCCTAGTGGTTAGGAGAACCAATCCCACATGGCCGGCCACAGTTCAAGTTCTGGCTCTAGCAGCCCCCAAATCCCGACAGGATGGAGAAATGGAGGTGATGGGACCGCAGCGTGGCCACACCCCACTGAGGGGTGTGTTGTCTTTCTCTCTGGCAAATGCTTATGCCCTCTAGCAAAAAAATAAGAAAAAGGGTCCTGAGGAGCCCAGGTCATGAGGGTAGGCCTGGACTGTGGCAGGAGCACATGGCACCGTTCTGTGACGGAGTGTCTCTGCTGTCCCTGCACACCCCTCCATAGCGCCACCCCTGCAGTCCCCCAGCTCCCAGGACAAGTCCAGTGCTGGGCCACTTGGTCATTAGTTTCGTATTAGGAAAAGGGAGAGGCTAGAGACCCCGGAAATCAGGGAGCATAAGGTGACAGCCCCAACTCACTCCCCTGTGCTTGGCCTGTACAAGGGGCTTTTCAAACACTCAGCTCACCACGGCCACTGTGCAAACCGAGAGCTTTAGTGGGTGCCACACTTGTCACTGTGCTGCACGGTCCCTTCCTCCCCGGACAAGGACAGCTGACTGAGGTGGGTGCTACTCCTTCAAATATACATCTAGGGCCTGCCCTGTGGCCTGGTGGTTAAGGGAGCCAGATCCCATGTGGCCAGCCAACTGCAGTTCAAATCCTGGCCCCAGTAGATAAGAAACACACCAGGCACGTGTGCGTGTGTGCCCAAATCCCAATAGGATAAAGAAGGGACAGGGCAGGATCATGCCCCACTGGGAGGGGTGCTTTCTCCCTTGCCCTCTGTCTCTCTCTGCCTGGTGAGCCCCCGTACCTACCAACAGTTTAAAAGAGAAAAGAACAGGAGCAGAACTGCGTCTAAGTTGTATAAGCTGTGTCGAGGAATCGCCTAGGGGAAGATGCAGCCTCTCCTCTGTTCCGAGGGTGAACAGTAGGGGCCACCCTGCCCTCTCCACCGCCAGGCCCTGCTCACAGACAAAGGGAATCCCCGTGTTCTTTGCTCCTGCCCTGTTTTAAAACAGAACAATTTCTTTCTTTGAGCTCTGTCTTCCATGGAAGGGAACCTAGGTAAGAGGCTAGACTGTCTGAAGTTTGCTTAGAAACCAGACCAGGACTGGAAGGTGCTGGAAGGTGCTGAAAGACCATCCGGGGCAACCAAATTCTACAGGCGTGGAGACAAGTCCCATTTGGAGCAGCGGGTTGAGCAGGTGTCTACGACAGGCAAGAAAGGGTGCAGGACTGAGAACTGACTCTGGGCCACAGCAGGGCAGGGCAGGGCAGAGTGATGGCATCTCCCTCCAGCTCGGCCTGGACTGGGCCTGCGCACCCCCTCAGGGATTGGGGCAGCTGGAAGGTGGCCCTGGAAGCAGCACTGGCCGGCAAGCAGCAGGTGGACTGGCTGTCCACGCCCACACCCCGTGGGTGCTAGCAGTGGCAGCTTGCTGTCTGTGCAAGAGCTCAGCGTGGCAGCCACACAGGAGGCCTCCGGGGCTCAACTCTTTTTTTCCCCCTCAATTCCCCCATTACTGAGCTGCCATCTGGAATTTTGTAAAAATATTTCTTGATAGCAAAGGAGGTCATCGCCATCATCCCCTCTCTTCTGTGCAAGGAATCAGCCCTCAAAAGAAGCCAGGCAGGGACCACCAGGTGGTGTAGCAGTTACGTTGCTGGACTCCCAAACAGCCGACTGTGGTTCAAGTCCTAGATCCGGTGACTTGAAAATCATGCTGTGGGGGCTGGCAGGTGGCATGGTGGTTAAGGGTGCTAGGCTCCCATGTGGCTGACCATGGTTTGAGTCCCAGACCTGGTGGCTTGCTTTCTCACTTGTTCTCTGTCTCTCACTGCCCCTCTTCTGTTCAAATTTAAAATAAACAAAGTTAAATAAAATAATTCTTTAAAAATAATCACACTGGGCACACGTGTGTGTGTGCCCAAGATTCCAGAAGGAGAATGGAAGAGAAGGGATTGTGGCATGGTCATCCTCCTGGAAGAAGGGATGATTTCTCACTTTCCTTCTCTCTCTCTCTCTCTCCCTCCCATGAGCACATGCACACTAAGGTAAAAAACCTCTTTAAAAAAAAAAAGGCAGGCATGCTAGAATGTTGGCGTGTGACAATAAAGATATCCATGCTCCAAAATCTTGGGCAAGGGCCACACTGCCCCCACCCCAGAGTCACTATTTCCATAAAACAGTGTGTGCTTTTTTTGGAGAGGTTTTGCCATAGGGCACATGCACTCGCCAGACAGACAGAGACAAAGAGACAGAAAGTGAGAAATCAAGCCCCCCCAGGGGGGGATGGCCACACCGCAGTCCCTTTTCCTCCATTCTCCTCTTGGGATCTTGGGCATGCACACACATGCGCCCGGCGTGAGTTTAAGCCACCGGGGCCGGGACTCGAACCACGATCGACTACGTGGGAGTGTATCGACATAGCCATTACGCTAACTGCTGGTCCCAAAACAGTATGTGCTCTTAATGAGCCAGAGAGGTGGGGAGAAAATAGCCAGCCAAAGAGGCTCCAGGTGTTCCACATCCTCTGAGCTTGGAAACCTTCATAGGCAGGGTAAAAGCCCACACTTGGGGAACAGCAGTTAGCATAATGGCTATGTCGCTGAACTCCCATATGGTCGACCGTGGTTCGATTCCCGAACCCAGTGGCTTAAACACACGCTGGGCATGTGTGTGCGCGTCCAAAATCCCGAGAGGAGAATGGAGGAGAAGGGACTGCAGCGTGGCCATCCCCCCTGGGGGGTGATTTCTCACTTTCTGCCTCTCACCCCTTCTGCTCATTTTGTTGTGGGGAAAAAAAAAAAAAAAAAAACCCTACACTTGCATCTATTTGCATGCTCCGCACAGGTGTTCCCAGACACCCTCCCAGACCTGCTCCTCATCCTGCAGCTCCACTCACAGAAGGGGGCACACAGCTCCCCAAGCCAGCCAGTGCCCTGGGAGACCCGTGCACCCCCTCGTCCCCCACGCTGATGGTCTCCAAGCTTCTGGAGCCCCACACCTCCTACCTACCCGCCCTGGTCCCGGCTACGTTTCCACACTGACTTGCAGCGTTTCCCCTTCCACCAGGCCTTCCAAAACCTCTGGCAGGCTCCTTGCAGCTGTCAGATCAGGCCCACCCTCTTTCCACGGCACCATGCACTTTAGCTAGGCCGACTGCACAGCGGCCACGCCATGCGCCATGCTGCGCTCACAAGCTCCTTCGGCCGAATGCCCTTTGCTCTGCCCTTGGCACTAAGATGGGCCTTACTCTGGTATGACACACGTGTGCATATAGAGGGAAGTTCGCGTGAAGACACAGAAAAGAGGTCACCTATAAGCCGAGAAGGGAAGCCTCAGAAGAAACCAAACTGGGGGACACCTTGGCCCTGCAGCCACTAGAATTCAGAGAAAACAAATCGCTTAAGCCACCTAGTTGGTGACCTTTGTCATGGCAGCCCTAACCAAAGATAGTAAGGCTTAATTTTTCACACTTCTTTTTCTGGAGAGATTTTTGTTACAGGGCATGTGCGCTCACCAGAGAGATAGAGAGAGAGAAAGCGAGAAATCACCCCCCGGGGGGAATTCCGTACCACAATACCTTCTCCATTCTCCTCTTGCCATTTGGGGCATGTACACACAGGTGCTCAGCATGGATTTCAAGTCACCTGGTCCAAGACTCTAACGGGGGTTGGCCATGTGGGAGTCCAACATCTTAAACACTAAGCCCCCCTCTTGGCCCCAACTTTTTTTTTTTTTTTTTGGAGAGGTTTTTGCTATAAGGTGCGTGCGCTCGCCAGACAGACAGAGAGAGACAGAGACAGAAAGCGAGAAATCCCCTCCCAGGGGGGGATGGCCACGCCACAATCCCTTCTCCTCCATTCTCTTCTCCTCCATTCTCCTCTCGGGATTTTGGGCACGCACGCACACGCGCCCGGCGTGAGTTTATGCCCCCGGGTCCGGGACTCGAACCGCATTAGACTACATGGGAGTCCAGCGACATAGCGATTATGCTAACTGCTGGTCCCAAGCACCAACTTCTAACACTTTTAAGATAAAATATAAATGGGTCTTTCTAATATTTTATCCTCAAAGCCTTCTTGGGAGGCCACTCTCGTGGGCAGGTGCGAGGAACCTGCTGCCCAGCTGGATTTTAAAGTCCAAGCCTGGAAATGAGGGGCGTGGGGAACTCTGGACGTCTCTTCTCGAGGCCCAATGTATCTGAGTAGCTGGAAACCGAACACCAGTAGGGCAGGTTTGTCACAGAGCCATCTTTGGAAAGAAACCGCACCTCGGCCTTGCCAGTGTTTCCCACATTCGCCTGATCATTAAAGAATCGCCCCGCGGGCCACGGTCCACCCTGGGATCGGGGATCGGGGGGGGTGGGGGGTGG